AAAGTTCTACCTCAGGGAATGCTTGCTTAATAGCCCAACCATGTGTCAGCTTTTTGTAGACAGAGCTGTTCTGCCTGTAAGGAATAAATTTCCAGATTGCTATATCATTCATTATATGGATGACATTCTATGCGCTGCATCCTCTATGGAGCAGTTGGCAGCATGTTTTGACTTACTTAAAAAGCAGCTTGACTTAGCAGGACTTTGCATTGCTCCAAATAAAATACAAACCACACCAGTACAGTATTTGGGTACTGTTGTGGATAGACAGTCTATTCGACATCAAAAGGTTCAAATTAGAAGAGATCAAATTAATACTCTAAATGATTTACAAAAATTATTAGGAGACATTAATTGGTTACGTCCTATATTGGGCATCCCTACATATGCCCTCAGTCATTTATTTGGTCTTTTGCAAGGAGCACCGCAGCTAAATAGCTCGCCCAAGCTGACTCCTCAGGCCAATCAAAAATTGGAGCTTATAGAGCAAAAAATACAAGAAGCTCAAATTCAGCGCATCAACCCTGTGCAATCCTACAGGTCTTAATTTTTCCCACACCACATTTGCCTATGGCGGTAATTGTTCAACAGGATGACCTGGTAGAATGGCTTTTTCTTCCTCATAATTTTGTTAAGTCACTCCCTACTTATGAGGAATTAATTTCTGAGTTCATATCACGAGCTAGAACCAGAGTCCTTCATCTCAATGGAAAGGAGCCTAATAAAATTGTAGTTCCTTTTAAGAACTACAAATATCTCATTTAAATACTCATGCTGAGTCTTGGCAAATTGCCATCAATGATTTTTATGGGATTATTGACAATCATTATCCTAAAAATAAATTGTTTCAGTTTCTACAAAAAACGAATTGGATTTTACTTAAAAAACTTAGGCAGACGCCTATTCCTCAGGGTCTAACACTCTTCACAGACAGATCTAATAATGGCAAAGCAGCAATTTGTGAGAAGGGTAATCAGCTTATACAAACAAATTGCACATCAGCTCAAAGGGCTGAGTTAGTAGCAGTGTTAACAGCTTTACAAACATTTTCTGACCATTTAAATATTGTTTCTGATTCCGCCTATGTAGTACACACGGTGCAAAATATTGAAACTGCATCTCTTTCTAATAATTCTAATCAGTCTCTCCAGCTACTGTTTAACCAACTTCAGCAGGTTGTGAGAAACCGTCAGCACCCCTTCTTTATCATGCACATTTATGCACATACTACCCTGCCTGGGTCTGCTGAGACCAGGCAATTCAATTGCTGATTCATTAATAGGAAGTGTTCAGGTTGCCGAGGCAACAAACCTCCACTCCCTAACATGCTAATGCAGGTGGTCTGCATTCACAGTTTGCTATCTCTAACAACCAAGCCCGTTAAATTATACAGACATGCCTTACTTGTCAGATTCTTAACGATCCACAAGAGTCCTGAAGGAGTTAACCCTCGAGGTTTAGTCCCCAATGCTATTTGGCAAATGGATGTGACTCATGTTCCTCCATTTGGGCGGACATCCTTTGTTCATGTTACTATAGATACAGCTTCTGGTTTTTTAGTCGCCAATGTTATGACAGGAGAGACCACCGCCCATACCTGTCGTCATTTACTTGTTTGTTTTTCCATTATGGGCCTACCTTGTCCTATCAAGACAGACAATGGCCCTGCTTATACAAGCTCTAAATTTGTGCAATTCTGCGCTATATGGGGAATTTCACACACCACTGGGATTCCTTACAATCCACAGGGTCAAGCTATTGTTGAACATGCTAATTCCACCTTAAAAAAACAATTACAAAAACAGAAAAGGGGAGACAGCAAGGACCCCCTACAGATACAATTAGCAAAAGCTATGTTTACCTTAAACTTTTTGAATTCTTCTGGTTCAAGTACTGAACCACACTTTGGACGGACTGCAGCTGAAAGGCATTTCAACAGCATGCTTAGTCCAAAACCTTTGGAAAAAGTTCCTATCTGGTGGAAAGATATCCAAACTAATCAATGGAATTTAGGAAACTTGTTAACTTGGGGACAAGGTTTTGCTTGTATTTCTCCAGGTCCAGAGGAACAGCCTTTGTGGGTGCCTAGCAGATGTGTCAAACCTTACCATGAGCAATGGCTTGAGGAAGAGAAAATTAGCACGGATAGCAGACATAGAACCTCCAGTGTTCCAAATGTCCGGTCTATTGCTGACAACCACGCTGAAAAACCACCCGGATAGGCCCACCCCCTGGAGGAAGCACTCCCAAGACGGAGAAAGCTCAACCTCCCACACGGGGGCAATTGAAAAAGCTGTCTCAGATGGCAGAAAAGAATTTGGATGAAAAAGGCTTAACTAAAAATGATACCAACATGCTAGTTTCTATGATTGCAGTAATTTCAGTAGTAAATTATCTTTTGCAAAGTGTTAATTTTACTTATTGGGTTTATTTGCCTAACCCTTTTTTTTTTTTTAAAGATTTGTATTGGGGAATTGGGAGAGGGGAACAGTGTTGGGGAATCGGGGAAGGGGAGCAGACAAGTTGCTGTTCTTTTGTTCTTCAGTCTAGTTGTGGAGGACCTTGCTTCACTGGCCCATGTTGGTATTGTTGGGGTCACCGTTCGTTAACAAAAACTGAGACAAAAGGTTTTCGTTCCAAAGGCTTTATTAACCAAGCCTGGTGACCGTCTTATTCTGTAAGAGGAGATCGGCCTCCAGTCCTGGCAGGGAGGGAATTTATAGCTGAAGCTGGATACAGAAGCGAAAAAAAGTGGTTAGTGAGTAAAAGGAAAAATGGTTAGTTTATTTTATTTTAACAAGCTATTAAACATGACTTGCTTATCTTTTCCTAACTGGCTATAAAACATATCTCGCTTATCTTTTCCTAACTGGCTATAAAACATATCTCGCTTATCTTTTCCTAACTGGCTATAAAACATAACTCGCTTATCTTCTTGACAGGACATTCTGTTATGTTTTGCTGAAGCGAGAGTTTTTTTAATTCCTCTGGGGAGGGGTACTTTCCGAAATGAGCTTGCTTAGCCTTGGGTCTGGGCCTGGGTCTCTACAGTATTATCATTGTGCTCTTCCCGGGTGAGGCAGATCAGTCGCCAGCCTCTGGACGGCCGCTCACAGCAGCTCTTGGCAGCTCACACTGGCTGCTGGCCGCTCATGCTGGCTGCCAGCCACACACAGTATCTCATGGCAGCCCACTGCAGCAGGGGCTGCAGCCTACACCATCACCGGCAACCCACAGCATCCCAGCTCCAGGTCGAGCTGTTGTTCACCATCTTAGCTGTAGAGGGCGCAGTGTCACTGGCCTCATGTGGGATCCGAACCAGGGCCCTGCTGCTCAGAGCTGGCGTCCCAAGCCAGCTCTTAACCAATGCACCACTCGGCCGGCCCTGCCTAATCCTTCTTTATTTACTGTTTTAAATCACATGGCTGTGGGTTATTTAAAAAACACCTATTTGCATTGGTTTAAAGACCTCCCGTGTCTCTCACTTTGTCACCAAACCTGGGAAGTTCTCAGAGAGAAAGGAAATAACTACTTTAAAATGTAACTGAAATATTTCTACTTATTGTGTTTAATCTTAGCTTTACTGTAAATATCCAACAACTACAGCAGGAGATGGATTTGATGACATGCTCACTTATCACTCCTGCCTGGAGATGAAACGCTTTCCGCGGATGCGGAAGAGTTTTCTACTTTAAACCCCCTCCCTTGGGTAAATACCCTCGGAGAAGGAGTTATGGGTGCATTTCTAATCTTATTGATTTTATTGTTTCTATTTTACCTAGTCATCTGCCACAGACAACAAATGCTCAGACTGGAAATAATCAGGAAACCACCTAGTCTGTGTTCCTCATATTGCTAAAATAAAAAAGGGGGAGATGTCACCTTGCAGCTGCCGACTCAAATGCTCCTGCACTCTGATCCTTTGAAGTCATAAGGAAGTGTCTTGGAATGCTGAGACCGGAGGGAACGATCTCGGTAAAACTTCCTTATCCGGTGGTCTCGGAATGCTGAGGCCATCCCGGGGATCATAAGTATGTGTAAAAGCACAACTCGTGCTTGATCACAATGAGTTTTGGTGAGATAGCTGCCAGTCTAATCGAATCAATTAACTGGGTATAGATATTCAAATTGACTTTTTTTGTGATAGTTGTAAATAAAAGTTATTCTCCCGCCAGGATCAGGGCTTTCTCTCTCAGTCTGCAGAGACAAGACCCCTGGCCGGCAGAAACTCTATTCTTGACTCTTGTGATTTCTTAACCCGTCGCCACCCCTCCTCGAAACCAACATGTGCAGAACTGGCTTCATATACCCCCAGAGACCCCAGCGCCATCCAGCAGTAGCCTCTGCCAGGGGTCTGGGTTCCAGCCCCTCCTGAGTTTCTTATTTCATCACTCTAACCTCTTCCCTGTGTCCCCACAGCTCTTAGGAACGCATCCTGTTCCCTGTGGCTCTAAGCCATGGCCCCTTAGGGCTCTTTCTGTTCTTTTTCACTCAACACCTAGGTCAAGTTCCTGACATTAAATTCCCTGTTAAAACAAGTTGTGTGGGGCTGGCCGAGTGGCTCAGTTGGTTAAGAGTTGGCTTAAGAGCGCAAGCTCTGAGCAACAGGACCGCCGGTTGGATTCCCACATGGACCAGTGATGCTGCGCCCGAGCTGAGCTATCACTGAGCTGCCAACAGGTGGCAGGATGGCTCAGCTGATGTAACAAGATTGCCTGTTGGATGGTGGGCTACGCCCACCCGCAACTAAGATTGAACTTGGCACATTGAGCTGAGCTGCCACCAAATGGCTCAGTAGATAGAGCGTGTGCTCTTAACAACAAGGCTACTGGTTCAACTCCGGCCTGGGATGGTGGCTACGCCCACCCGCAACTAAGATTGAACACAGCATGTTGAGCTTAGAGGCACGAGTTGCCCATGGGAAGCCAGATGGTAACTGGTGCCCTCCACAATGAAGATTGAAAAACAACTTGGCTGGTCCCCCTCCTCAATTCCTCAACACTGTTCCCTTCCCCCAATTTCCCAATAAAATCTTAAAAAAAAAAAAAAAGTAAATTAAAACAAAAAACAGGTGGTGTGATAGCAGTTCCTCACGAGGTCAAAGTGACTACATGACCCATCAATTTCACCCCTAGGTGTAAAACCAAGAAAAAGGAAAGGTTTGTCCACAAAGAAACATGTACATGTTTACAGCAGCAGTATTCACAGTAGCCAAAAGGTACAAACCACCCAAATACCCATTAACGGACAAATGACTACAGTGTGGTGTATATCCACACAACAAAATGTTATGTAGCCACAAAAATGAGAGAGGTGCTGACGTGCTACAACATGATGAACATTGAAAACTTTATTGAGGAGGTCTTCGAATAACATCGTTTCATTCAGCATTTCACTAGAACATGATGAGATGCCATAGGAACTTAACTCTTGTTCATATCAATTAGCCTGTGAGAAAGTGGGTTTTATAATACATCACTTCCCTTAAAGTCACAGGACCTATCAACAACACTGAGGACTTACTGTATTCAATGAAAGCCAGTTATAAAAGGCCACATAATGTATGATTCCATTTAATGAAATGCCCAAAATAAGCAAATCCAGAGACACAAAGCAGATTAGTGGCCGTCAGGACATTCAAAGAGGGAAGAACAGATTGACTGCTGACAGGCATGGAGTTTCTTTGGAAGTGATTAAATTATAGCATCAAGACAGTGGTGTTAGCAGTATAATTTTGTGAATACTGTATATTAAAACCCACAAACTGTACCCTTTTTGGGTATGTGAATTATAGCTTAGTAATGCTGTTTTCTGTTAAAGTGCTATGGTTTCTACTTCTTGATACAGAGGGCCAAGCAGGCAAGAGGCACGCCATAGGCATGTGTGAGCAGTGAGTGCACAGATGCAAGGGTAAAGGATGGCTGTCACCTCCTCACAGGTTCACATGTGGAGTCCAAGGTGAGGATGTCACATAGCAAGAACTGCAAAGCCACCCTTGGCTAGGCTGACCTCTGCGCTTACCTCTTCTTGTCCCCAACCCCTGCAGAAAAAGAAAGACACCCTAATTGTGACTGGTGGTCTCTGTCCAAGTCTCCAACCATACTAGGCTCCAATGGGGCAGGGACCTTGCCTGTCTCCTTTCCTGCCAGACCCACAGGGCCTGTCAAATGGCATACACTTGTAGGGACCTTGTGAGGAAAGAGAAAAGGAAGAGAAAGGAGACCCAGTGCACCCTGAAAGGGTGAGATATCACGCCAACCTCAAGCTGGGAGGCTCAGAGGCTTAGAAAGGCCCCAAACAAGTTGCAGCCTGAGTCGGCTTCCCAGTGATAAGAACACTGAGGGCCTGGGCAGAGCTGGCAGGCACTCAGGACCTAGGACCATGGGTTTTGTCCCTTGCAGTCCCCACACCCAGGCCTGCTGCCCTGCCCTGGGCCCCTGGCTTACCATTCTGCCTCAACACATGGGCGAGGTCCTCCACCAACGCCATGGCCTCCTCCCCACTCTCAGGGTCCTGGGACTCCACCCAGACCCGGGTGTCAGGTGGCAACATGCCCAGGAACTGCTCCAGCACCAGCAGCTCCAACATCTGCTCCTTGGTGTGCACCTCGGGTCGCAGCCACTGGTGGCACAGTGCACGCAGCCAGGCCAGGGCCTCATAGGGACCTGCTGCCTCCTCATACCAAAAGCTGCTGAAGCGCTGGCAGGGATTCCTACTGGGTCCAGGGGGCAGTGCTGTGGGCTGAGGGTTGGGGTAGGGTTCAGGATCACATGCGGCAGACTCATCCTCCTCCATCTTGACGATCACGAGCTCTTCCTGATCGAGGGGTGCTGGGTTGGCTGCCATGGCGAGACCTCGGGAAGCTGGCCTCACCTGCCCTCACTAAGGCCTCACACACCGTCTTCCTGGGACACATGCCCACCCAATTAGGGTCATGGACCCCCCTTGCCCCTCCACCCACCCACACGCGGCAAGGCCACTTGCTGTGGGGGAAACTGTCCCCAAACTCAGGTAACTGGCAATCTGGCAGGGGACACCTCCAATTTTGACCTCCCCATCTGTACCCTCAGGACACCTGGCACTGCGAATCCAGTTCAGAGGCAAGTGAGCCCACCCCCGCAGGGAAGCTTTCAGGATCTCAAGCCAGACTGGGCCAAGGTAGGAGGCCTGCTCCAGGGGACGGGAAGCGTGGACATGCCCAGTCTCAATGAACTGAGAGAACCCCACAAGCAGCGAAACAAAGGTGCTGGCAGGAATTAGCAGAGGGTTGGTGCCCAGGGAGGGTCTGAATGAGTGAAGGATGCAGTCTGAGGGGCACTAGGAAGAGTGATGTGGGAGACAGACTGGAAGGGCAAGATGGAAGCTGGGGACAGCTGCAGAGCAGCCAGCGTGGGCCAGGTGCAGGGATAGCAAAAGCTGACTCCTACACTGAAAGGCCTTCCTTCCGCCACAGCAGACTCCTACAGAGCCTGAGAAGCTGGGCTCAACTCAACTTAGCCAAGAGATCAAGCATGGACATGGAGAGATGTCCACTCTCCAAAGCTAAACAAGAAAGCTGTGGCCCTCCTCAACATGATACCACTAAGATTTTAAAACAACAAACCTCTGCAGGCTTATATGACTGTGTGTACACAGGAGCTACTGTTACAAACGTTCAGAAAAGGGTCCTGAAAAACAAAACGTAAACTGGCAATTCCAGGGAAAGGAATTGCAGGACATCCACTTTTTCCTTTATAAATATCTGCATACAATCTGAATTTTTTTTGCAACAGACTTTCACCATTGCAACTTCAAATAATAGATTGTTTTCAATGCCAGTGCGTCTTTCAAAAGCCTAGTCAGGGCTCCCCAGATCCCGGCGACCCCAGACCACACACCCCTAACCCCCAGGCTCCTGGATACCCTCAGGTGCCCTGAAGAAGTAACAGATGGAGGGGAGCATTTTGGGCAAAGGCCGTGTGGCCAGGGCGATCCTGCAGAGCCTCGGCCGAGTAACGGTCTGGATTTTAAACCCCGTATACGGGGAGCGCCCCCCCCCGCCCCTCCCCGCCCCGCCTCACTTTCACCTTAAGGAGGGAGGGACGCGCGCGCAGGTGCAGTGGGATCAAGGAGGGGATCCAGTGTTCTCAAAGTGAGGACAGTCTACAGTTTAGGGAGAGGAGGGTGGAAAAGCAAACAGATTGTGTGCACAAAACTAGCAACCACAGGAAGGAGTCCCAGGAACTTCGGCTGAGGAGGGCACCAGCACCCATCCGTGGGTAGCGACCCGGAGCCATGGAGAGCGCCGGACTCAGACAGGAACCACTTCTGGGGCAGGCCACGCCCAGCCAGACTCTCTGTCCCGGTGGCCCCGCGCCGCTGTTCCCCGCCGAATCGCTGGGGCTCCTAGGAAGACCGGTGATGCTTTTCTGCCCCACCTCCCCTACTGCTCTCCGGCGGGCTGCACACCCTACCCCCGGGCCTTTCCGGCGCCTCTGGCCGCACCGTGCCCGGACTCACCGCCCCCAGGAGCCACGCGGACAAACCACCCTGGGGCCCGAGGAGCAGGAGCATCAGACCGCCCCACAGCCTTTTTCCGCGCTTTGCGCTCCCCAACTCTCATCCCACCCCGACATTCCACGCAGGCACGCGAAGGAATGAAGGGGGCGGTCTCCGTGGCTACGGCCTCTCTGTGGCAACGGCCTGCGCCCAGAAGTGAAAGGCGAGCGAAGCAGGTTCTGTCGGCAAGGTTCTCTGGAAAAAGGTAATCCTCGGCAGGTCAGAGAGCCGGTCCGTAGAGACTACATTTCCCAGGAGGCAGCGGGCACCTGCGCTCAGGTCCGGAGTGGACTGCAAGGCCACCTGGAAACGTAGTTCTTCAGGGGCCTGCGACAGGGTGCTGGTTGAGAGTCCAGGGCGCTCCGCTGAGCGTCTGTGGATGGCCAAGCGCCCTCCCTGACTCCAAAGACGCGCGTCCTGAAACCCATGCATGCATCGTCCCCGCCACGCACTGCCTGCGTGACTTGAGTCCAGTCGCCTCCCAAGCGCTTGGCTGGTACAAGGCGGCTGAGCCACTGGCCGCTCACCTGCCTCTCTAGAACTTCCACCGGTTGGGATTTGGCCTCAACAACTCCTGCCTGGTCACTTGCCTCCTTCAGCCGCTGTATCGCACTAAGCTTCCATCCAGGCGGCTGCTTCCTCCCGGTAGTTCCTCAGGCCTTCACTAACCCACCCACCATTTGGGGCTGCCTCTGACAACCCCTCTGTGACACGTGGCATTTTGAAATGATCCATTTTCTGATTGTCAGCAACATACCCGAAGGCTGGGGCACCACCTCCCTAGAAAGCCTTTCCTATCATGTCCAGTCCTGTGCCCTGGCTAGGTTGCGGTCCCTCCTAAGTCGCCCGTCATAGCCCTTGTCACATAGAACATAACCTCTGGACTGGCAGCTCCTGAGACCAGTCTCCGGAACCCTGGCCTCCCCAATACCCAACACATTTCAAGTGCGCATAATCTGTGCAGTGAACTAACCCAGGCTGTCACCTGGGTCCTAAGAAAAGTTACCCCCATTCTTGCCATTCCTCACCACTCTCTCCAGGAAAGCAAGGGGACTCACTGAAACTTTCTCCCAGTAAAGCTGGGCCCTCCCGCTCCCTGGCCCCAGCCCATCGTGTTGACAGCAGGCCTATCACTGCAGGTGTTAGCTGGGACAGAGGTGGCTGAAGTCCTTTATCCCATCTTTATTTCTTGGTGTGTGCATGGGCACAGACACATGCAGGTACCCGTATTGAATGGAATCAAGCCCAAACATCTGGGCCGGCCGAGTGGCGCGTTGGTTAAGAGCTGGCTTGGGACGCCAGAGGGCCCCGGTTCGGATCCCACATGTGAGGGCCAGTGACACTGCCCTCTACAGCTAAGATGCTGAACAACAGCTCGACCTGGAGCTGGGCTGCCGTGGGTCACCAGCGATGGCGTAGGCTGCAGTCCCCTGCTGCAGTGGGCTGCCATAAGCTACCATGTGTAGCCAGCAGCCAGCGTGAGCAGCCAGCAGCCGCCGTGAGTGGCCGTCCAGAGGCCAGCGACTGATCTGTCTCACCCAGGAAGAGCGCAATGATGGTGCCAGCTTGGGCCAGTGAAGCAACATCCTCCACAACTAGACTGAAGAACAAAAAACAACAGCAACTTGTCTGTTCCCCTTCCCCCCAATTCCCCAGCGCTGTTCCCCTCCCCCAATTCCCCAATAAAATCTTTAAAACAAAAAAGCCAAACATCCCTGTCTCACTACCTGTGACTCACCCAGCTGAAGCACAGAAACACCTTCCCTTGCTGACCATCTGTGTTTTGGTGGCCTATGTGGTATGTATGCAGAGGAGACACCCCAGAGTGTCTATTGTTACTGTCTAGGAGACAGGAGAGCAAGCTGGAATGAAGGGAGAGACCGAGACTGTCCAGGGAGGCCATCCAGCGCAATCAGAGCTGTGGGTCTAACCTCAGGGAAAGGCTGGGCTGCAGCCAGTGCACCGAGAGCCAATCCTGAGGTGGCCACTGAGACCTTAGGAATGGATGGGATTTCCCAAAGGGCGCTAGACCAGGGAGACCATCAGGGTCACAAAAGTCACAGCCTCAGAGGCTGGAGGGAAACCAAGATGACCGTACCTCAGAAACCCAAAGAGGAAAACACCTCCAAACCAAAGAAGTGACTCCTAGTATCAAAAGCCACATGCCCGGGGTGGCCAGTTAGCTCAGGTGGTTAGAGCACAGGCTTGTAACAAGGTTACCGGTTCGATTCCCACATGGGCCAAGGAGCTGTGCCCTCCACAAAGACAAAACACACTGTTCCCCAATAGAATTTCTTTAAAAAAGAAAAAAAAAGCCACATGCCCATGGGCTCTGGGCAGGGAAGGCATGAGAGACCTAGGACAACAAAGGCCATGGAAGCCAGAAGGGGTGAGGATGACATGTAAAGTGCACAAGAAAATGCTGAGATCAGGAAACCCTCATCTAAAATTGGGTAGGACAGGCCAACACAGTGGTGCGAGAATGAGGTCAGGGTTGGCAAATGGCAAGAGCTGGTCTTGACCCTAGCCCCTCACCACAAGGAAGACCACCTGGTGGGTTGTGCTGGGCCACCATGGTGCCACAGGGTGTGTCTCTGTCAGGGACAGGCACTCCCAAGCCCCACAGCTCATCTGCCAGGCAGAGAACACCACCATCCTGTTCTCCGAGTCAGGGAAACAAAATGTCATCAGACAGGGCTTATCTAAGGTCAGGCCCAAGCCTCAAATCATGCAGGACAGGTCTGTCCTTCTGGATCTGTGCCCTTAGCCACGCACCCACCCTCTGGAAGCCCCACCTGGGTCAAGTGCAGGCTTCCTGCTAGTGCCCTTGCTGCTACCACAGGGCCTCCTGAAGATGCAGCTGCTCGAGCCTGTCGCCTCCCTTGCCGGTACAGCTCCCAGAGGCGGGTGAGGGCACCGTGGACATCCCGGGACACCTGCAGGCTGCGCTCCCGGTTGGGATCATTCTCTACGAGGACCTGTAGGCCAGCAGTGAAGTGGGACAGGACCTGGGCCAGGTGCTCAGGGCTCAAGGCACCCGGCCCAGCTTCCTCAGTCTCTACACCCACCATGGCCTCAGTGAGATCCAGTTCTGGTCTTTCAGGGGCCAGGCCTTTTGCTGCCTTCCAGGGCAGCCCAGAGCCACTGGCATCCCCATTCTCTGCATCCTGGGGGACCCTGCGGGGTGTGGACTCCACATGGGCCTGCAGCAGGCTGGCAACACGGGCCTCAGCCATGTCCCCAAGGCCCACGTGGCTGGCCAGTGCTACAATACTGCCATGGAGCACGGCATCAGGCTCTGAAGTGCCAGCGGGCACACACTCGGGCCAGAGCTTCCTCCAGGCACTGTTCATGGTGGCAGTCTGCAGGTCCGCCCAGGCCTGGGCAATGTTATACACTGCAGTCATGACAGTATAGCTGCGCCAGAACTCCCGCACAGAGGACTGGTCTCCACCAGCTGTGTCCTGGACCAGCTGGCTAAGGGTGCGGCGCAGGTAACAGGCCTTGAAGGCTGCGATGACGCCCTGGTTCATGGGCTGGATCAGGGCCGATGTGTTCTTTGGCAGGAACTCGACGTGCACATGGGTTGAGAAGCTGCCCAAGTGGGCAGGGTGGCAGGGTGCACTGTCCAGGAGCAGCAGGACACGGTGGGGGAGGCCATGGCTGGTGCAGTAGCTCTCCACGGCAGGGCAGAAGCAGCCGGTAAACCACTCCTGGAAGATGCTGGGTGTCAGCCAGTCGTTGCGGTTGGAGCGCCAGATCACGGGCAGGCTGGCCTTGGAGCAGCCTTTGAGTGCACGTGGGTTCTCCGAGGGGTACACCAGCAGGGGCTTCAGCTTGAAGTCACCAGCTGCGTTGCCACCGAGAAGCAGGGTCAGGTGGTCCTTAGGGGCTTTGGGCCCGGGGCTGGCCACCCCCTCCAGCGCCAGCAGCATGCGCTCAGGCACCCGCTTCCAGAACAGGCCCGTCTCATCCACGTTGAAGACTTGGTGCGGTGAGTAGCGGCCCTCTTCCAGAATGGTGCGCAGCAATAGTGGGTAGCAGGCGGCAGCCTGGGCATCAGCCACGGCTGGCTCGTCCGTCAACAGCACATTGTGGCGTGCCTTGAAACGGGCAAACCAGCCATTGCTGGCCCCAAAGGTTTCAGCCTGGGTGCCGGCACCCTGCTCGTGCTGCAGCTGTGCAAAGAGACGGCGTGCCTTGTCCTGGATGAGCAGTGTGCTGATGGGCAGGTCCTGCTGCTTCTGCTCCTCAATCCACAGGCTCAGCAGGCGTTCCATGTGGCCCATCACCACACCCCGGCAGCGGGTCAGCTGCTTGGCACTGACAGGCGTAGCCGCCTGGGAACTGGCCCAGATCTTGTCCCTGTTGACACGAATCGAGGCGACAGTGGACGTGGCCAGCCCCAGAGCCCGGGCAATCTGCGTCAGCTTCTCACCCTTCTCAAACCTCCGAAGCACTTCCAACTTCATGTGTAAGGTGATGGACTTCCGGTCCCGCTTGCCACCATGACGGAGGCCAATCCCACCAAGGGGTGCCTTCCCCAACATCTGCAGGTGGGGGGTTGTCTTCATTCCACCTTCTTGTGCTAAACACCTCGACGAGCTTTCTATCCCCTGCCCCTCCACAGTAGCTACCACTGTGCCGACAATGGCAGACTCTTGGCCTCTCTGTAAGAGGGAGGACATACAGGCTGTGAGTACCTGGAACTCCCAACCACTGCCCAGCCTTCCCATGCTGACACAGAGCACTAAGCCCTGCTTAGAGGCACGCCCAGACCCTTCTCTCCCTACACTAAAGGCATTGCGCGTTCATGTCCAAGCATTCTTTGCATCTAGAAGAGCATGTCACTTAGTTTTAGCTCAAGAGATCAAGAGAGAGATAAGACTTCACTCTCTTCCCCCAACAAACCACCTGCAACCACAAGGGGAAGCCAAGAGCATCTAGAAACCCTGACCTACCTCCCAGACCCTGATGAGTGGATGAGTTACCCTTCTCCATGCTTCTCACTCAGAGACATCAATCATCAATGTGGGAGACTGAATAAGGATGTCTCCTAAAGCTGTCCACATCCTAATCCCAAGAACCTATGAATAAATTACCTTACATGGCAAAAGAGACACTGCATGTGACTGAGTTAATAATCCTGAGATGAAGGGGCCGGCCGAGTGGCTCAGTTGATTAAGAGCTCGCTCAAGAATGCGAGCTATGAGCAACAGCGTCGCCGGTTTGATTCCTGGACCGAGTTGAGCGGCCGCTGAGCTGCCAACAGGTGGCAGGATGGCTCAGATAAAAAAATATATAAAATGTAATAATAATCCTGAGATGGGGATATTACCCAAATGGGCCCTAAATGTAATTACAGGGGTCCTTGTAAGAGGAGGCAGATTTCACTCAGAAGAAGGCAATGTGACCACTGAAGCCTAGAGCCTCCAGAAGGAACCAGACCTGCTAAAACCTTGATTTTAGCCCAGTGAGACCCATTTCAGATTTCTGACCTTCAAGACTCTAAGATAATAAATCTGTGTTATTTTAAACCACTAAGTTTGCAATGATACTTAACAGCAGTCATAGGAAACTCACACGGAAGGGGATCTCCCTAATTAGTGCCACCACCGTGGACTACCTGGGGATAGATGACAGAGGTGCTTCTCCACAGGGCAGCCAGAATGAGTCAGAAGAATTACATCAGTTAAGAGCCCTTCCCGCCTCTCACTTCTAAGTAAAAGCCACAGTCCCCACCAACTTCCTCAAGGGCATTGAAGCCTCCTTCTCTCCTTTGCTAGTTCCTGACCACATACTCTGAGCAGACTAAGGGGGCTCCTACTCAGGGCCTTTGCTCCCATGGTTCCTTTGGCCCAGAGCTGGGGGTCTTCCCTCTGGTCTGTATGGCTTGTTCACTCTCCTTCTGCAGGTCTCTGCTCAGATGTAACCTGATCAGAGAGGCCCTCCCCGCCTATGTTTTATTGTGCATCTCTCATACACTACCTGAGGGCAGGAGCTGTGTCTGTTGATCATTCTGCTTTGTCCCAGGCCCAGAATAGTTCCTGACACTTTGCAAGCATCCAGTAGTCGCTTGCTGAGTAAATTATTAAGTGAAGTACAGTGGTGGGACAGGCTTCTTGCCTGTCCAGGTCAAAGTAGCACCTGATCAAAACAGTAAAAAAAAATTTTAGGGCTGACCAAGTGGCTCAGTTGGTTAAGAGTTGGCTTAAGCACGAGCTCTGAACAACAGGGCCACTGGTTCGATTCCCACATGGGCCAGTGATGCTGCGCCCAAGCTGAGCTGTCGCTGAGCTGCCAACAGATGGCAGGATGGCTCAGCTGGTGTAACAAGATTGCCTGTTCGATGGTGGGCTACACCCACCCGCAACTAAGATTGAACTTGGCACCTTGAGCTGAGCTGCCACCCAGATGGTTCAGTAGATAGGGCATGCGCTCTTAATAACAAGGCTGCCAGGTTCGACTCCCACATGGGATGGTGGCTATGCCCACCCGCAACTAAGACTGAAATCGGCACCTTGAGCTGAGCTGCCACCCGGATGGCTTAGTGGATAGAGCGTGCGCTCTTAACAACAAGGCTGCCGGTTCAACTCCCACATGGGATGGTGGCTACGCCTACCGCAACTAAGATTGAACACAGCACCTTGAGCTTAGAGGCCACGAGCTACTGATGGGAAGCCAGATGGCAGCTGGCGCCCTCCAAAACAAAGACAAGAACAACAACTTGGCTGGTCTCCTTCCCCAATTCCCCAACACTGTTCCCCTCCCCCAATTCCCCATAAAAATAAAAATAAATTGTTTTTGAAGGAGTGCATGTGAAACACAGCGGACAAATGTCTCACGGGTCTGTGTTCTTGAAGAGGATATGGCACCTAGAACGAGTATTTCAGGAACCCATGGGTTGTACCTGGCTTGAAACCACAGGGCCCTCGAGCCAGGGAGGCAGGTGGGCATGGGAAGGCTCCTTCCTGGGAGGCCCCAAATTCCAGACCACTCGCGACCATCCTTCTCTCTCTGACAACCATGCCCTCGCCTACTCAACCACAATTTTATTTTATTCTTTTTTTTTTAAAGATTTTATTGGGGAATTGGGGGAGAGGAACAGCGTTGGGGAATCAGGGAAAGGGAACAGACAAGTTGCTGCCCTTTTGTTCTTCAGTCTAGTTGTAGAGGACACAGCTTCACTGGCCCATGTTGGTATTATCATTGTGCTCTTCCTGGGTGAGGCAGTTGCTCACCAGCCATTGGATGGCCGATCACGGTGGCTCACAGCACGCCACCTGCCGGCCAGCCCCACTGCAGCCTACGCAGTCGCCGGTGACTCATGGCAGCCCAGCTCCAGGTCAAGCTGTTGTTCACCATCTTAGCACAGCGTAGAGGGCACAGCGTCACCGTCCTTCATGTGGGATCCAAACCGGGACCCTGATGCTCAGAGCTGCTGTCCCAAGCCAACTCTTAATCAATGCACCACTCTGCTGGCTCTCAACCACAATTTTAAATTCACCCATTGATTCGTTTATTCTCTCCTTCCCCTTCTGGAGAGAAAGTCCCCAGGCCCGCTTCCCCACTTCTCTGTGGAAAACAGGGCTTGTCTCTTTTTTTTTTTTTTAAGATTTTTATTGGGGAATTGGGATGGGAACAGCGCTGGGGAATCCAGGAAAGGGGAACAGACAAGTTGCTGTCGTTCTGTTCTTCAATCTAGTTGTGGAGAATGTTGCTTCACTGGCCCAAGTTGGCACCATCATTGCGCTCTTCCCTGGTGAGGCAGATCAGTCGCCGGCTTCTGGACGGCCGCTCACTGCGGCTGCTGGCCGCTCACGCTGGCTGCTGGCCACACACGG